GTGTGATGTTCAGCTGCCTGCCAGGTTAACCCACAACAACAGGGCTCTGAGCAACCTGATCTAGCTGAAGATGTCCCTGCCCATGGCAGGGCAGTTGGACTAGATGACCTTCCAACCCAAACTATTCTATGAACTATGAACTAAAAAAGCAAATGGGCATTGACCAGTCTAGAGTGGAGCTACTCTGAAGTAAACTTCCCAAAACGCGCATGATGTGGATGTCAAGTACTCTGAACCAACTGCTTAACTCTCAAACCCTCTTCTACTTGTTTGTACAACTTGCTAATATTGACACAGCCCAAGATACCAGGTTCACTCTAACTATTGTGAAAGCATGGTTACAATGTTTACCAAGGATCTTGATTTTGCCTGGTTTATGTATTTATGCAAATAAGTTGATTCATTCATATGTAAAATAAAAACACTGTACTTACCAGTTTTGGGGTTTATTGAAAAGAAGCCCTGTGGGTTGCCACTTGTAATCTTATAGGTCAGTTTTTCACTTGAGCTAGAATCTGGATCAAATGCGTCAATCTGAATGACGGATACATCTTTAGGTGAGTTTTCCATGACCTCTGGGTAATAAACTGGTTCTGTGGTCTGAGGAGCATTATCATTAACATCCCCAACTTCTATGTAGATTTCAATGAAAGATGATAAAGGCACAATGCCTTGGTCTGTTGCATAAACAGTTAACCAGTAATGTGAAGTAGTCTCACGATCCAGGCGATCTGCAGTCTCAATAATACCTGTTTAAAAGGAAGAAAGATAAATAAAAAATGCTCAATAAATATGCAAAGTGTGTAAAAATAGAGTAAACAACAAGCTTAAATAAATGAATAAATAAAAATGAATACAAGTTCGAAATAACTGACATCAATTCTACAAGCTGTGTTAATATACACAAACATATTCAGGCTAACCTGAAGCCACAAAAAATAAAATTACACCAGTTTTCAGCAATTATGCATTATAGATATTAAAACAATATATTACTTAATTTCCTTTCCAACATCCTTTGAGATTTATCACATCAATTAGCACTATTCATAAAAGCTATTTTGCCTAATTCACAGTCTTTTGGGACTTGAATGACCCTTTTTACTCATCACCGATTATAGTGAATTTGATACCATATTAAACTGATTTAGATGCCAAACTCTCGAACTGTTTACCATTATTCATATTAATGAGCAGCTACTTAAACATGAGACATTCTTATCTATGTGCCCAAATGAATTATTTAACTGAATTTGCTCAAGGTGCTTATTTGGGTTCACACAGAAATTTCACAGAAAAGAAAACAAAAGTTATACCTGAAGCTAACCTTTGTAGCATTAGGACCAACCAATTGGCTGCCATTACTCTGGCAATGGAAAGCAGCGCTTAGGTGAATTTTACACACATAAAATGAATTACCATTTAAGGAACAGCTACACAATTCACAAACTTGATAAAAATCTGTCTGCTAAGTCTACAGGAGTTTTTGTGAGCCAGAACTAACCAAGGAATGAGGGACTCAAATTTTTTTATCCCCTGTGAAAGAAATACAGATTTATTTTATAAGCAGCTTACTCTACAGGTACAGTCATAATTTGCACGTGTCAAAAGGGTACATGATGCGGTGTAACCTATTTGATGGGGGATGAATATCAAACAGATTCATGGAGCCATGGCACAATTAAACCTTGCACTTTCCTTTTCCTGATCCAGTCACTCTTACAGGTTGTCCAATTTGAGATATTTTCTAAATAGAATGGAAAACAAACCTGATACATGTCAGGGTGGGGGACAGAGCAAGCCCTTGCAACCATTTCTGTGGAAATCTTGAAGGGCTTTGTCATGGCTCTTATTGTTTGTTATACTGACACACACCAGGACTAATTGGGATTGGAGCCGAGTTGAGTCAAACTATCACCATGACAGCCGGTTTTGGATTCTGGATACAGCCACATGATGCGACTATGTGTGATGCGGCCCTTGTCCTGAGCTCATTTACTCCACACAATGTAAATATATATATATATATATACACACATATACACACACACACACATATATATACAACATCAGTAAAATAGGACCTCGATAAAATTATGCCACTGTGCTTTTACAGGAGTTCTACAGGAAAGGAATTAAGTCTAAGTATCACTTCCTTCACACACCCCAGACACTTTTTTTAATAACTTCTACTGGCTGAGCACAATGAGATAAATATTGAGGAACTACTCATTTATTCATTACTTTCTTCGCCTTGTGGGAAGCTGCATAAAGGTCTGATGATGATCATTTGAAATTTTAAGGTGTCAGTAAGATCACTTCAGAAGGGCTGCAGGGGATAGCATCTACTGCTTAGACCTGCAAAATACCCATATATAGCATTTCAAGCAACAAGCATTTCAGAACTACCACCAGATGTCAGTGTGGAAACTGGTTTTACATAGTGTCAAAAGGAGGGGCGCTGCAATTTGAAAATATACATGCATTACATACAGTCTATAAAAGTTTTCTTGAAAGCAAACTGGTGGCTTTATAATTCCGCTCCTCCCCCGCCCCCCCGCCCGAGGAACATCATCAAAAACTAAACCAAGGTGTTAATTTTAAGGATACTGGCATTTTACATTTCCAGTCTCTTCACCTCAGTATTTATATTTTGTTTGATGGCAGTTTTATTATTAAAAAAAAACAATAATCCTATATAGTCACTGGATTTGTGCTGTGGTTACCTGCATAGTTTCTGATTGTTAACGTACATACATTTGCTCTTAAAAATGGACAAGCAGCCTTGAGCGCCCAGTTACCTGGATTCTGTTTTTGCAACCCACTGAGGCTACACCTTTTGCACCTCTCTACTTCAGCTGGGAGACTTGCTTGGGAGTAAATAAATTTGTTAATTACTGTGGCCTCATTTCTAAACCTAAATGCTGGATGTGGCGTGCAAGCACTTCATCTTTAGTCTGGGTAGACTCCATGTATGCCCTGGAAAATTTTGTAAAACCTTCATGTCCTACTAAACACAAGACTAGACTGTATTAATTCCCTTTTAGCAAGGCTTCCAGCAATGCTGCTCTGTTGCTTGCGATCCATGCAGAACACAGTGGGCAGGCTTATGTGCTGAATTGAGCAACCGTTATCATTTTACACCTGTCCTGCTTTCTCAACAGTAGCTACATCAGAAGTGGCAGACTAATTTTAAGATAGCCTTGCCTGATTTTAAAGAAACATAAAAAGAGACTCTTGTAATGGAGCTCTCCTCCTGCAATCTGCTCACCTGGCATTTACAACTTCTACCACCTTAGGTATCAAAGCCTACCTCAAGGAAAAATAAGACAACGTATTTTGCTTTTGTGGGCTATCAGTTCTCAAATGTCCATTCTCTTAAGTCACATACTTCACAAGGAAAAAAGTACCACACCAAAAAAAAACAACAACAGTATTTCAAAAAGAAATATGTAAAAAGATTATAGGCATAGTAGGGATAGTGGCTAACAGTACAATACAGCAAAGATGGGCAACTTTATTTTTTGGTTCATTTTTCATTTCAAATTAGATCTGCATATATGACATTATTTCTGTGCGTTTTACACTGACTTCTGCAGAAATAGTCAATGAAAGGCTTGTAATCTGTCTGATCATCTGACCACTGAACACATCATGTAACACAGCTGTTTACCCAACAGGGTAGCTCTGGTTTTCAGAATGTAGATTTTCTACAGGGTCATCCACACTCTAAAGTGCATTAGCTAAAGTAACACGAAATCTCATATACTAAAATTATTTTCCCATTTTTCTCATATTTCTCACCCAATAGATCCTGAATTCTTGGATGAACATTTTTTCTGTGTGTGCTGTTTATAATTCCAAACTGAAATAGAGAGCATCTAGGAAAATGATTTTATGATCAGTCAGATATGCAAAAATACCTACATAACTGTTTAACACTAATCAACAGATTAATTCCTGAATAAACATTTCCTAGAGGCATAAAGCTTTCATGTACCCCACTTGCAGTTCAAAACAGGTGGAATAGACAGGTATGTAATGCAAGTTGGAAAACTTACTAGAGATGACATCACACGTAAGTGGATTACTTTGACAGTAGTAAAAATGAAGACTCAAAATAACATTCCTCCAGTATAAAAGCCATGCAAAAGGGGACAGGAAGTTAGGGAGCAAAAATTTCCCTTCACCCCTCGCACATTGAGGGCTGGAGGAGAGGCCACCACACCTAGTTCTCCTTCATCACTCAAAGCTGCAGGCACGGAGAGGGAAGGGATGACTGGTCTATTAGTATGACTCAGCTTTCTTCCCACTGTTTCCGCCCAGCAATAAAATGGAACAGATACAGATCCAGTACACATGCCTGGGGGCGGGGGGAAGCTCTGACTACCAAAACCTGAATTTCTTCTGGTTCTGCATCAGCACTCATGTCACAAAACACAATCAACACTAAATGCATACATCTACACAGAGTACTTGCGGGTTTTTTTCCCTTTTAATGGTACTGTACAATCTGACCTTACATTAGTAATTACAAAACACCATCCTTTTCTTATTACTCTAGTTGAAGCTCCTCCTGCAAGTTTGACACTAAATCCTTCCTGATTTTGCCTATGAGAACACTAATAGCTTAATCTTTAATTTCTATGCAACAATAATGAATACAAATGCATGTAAATTTCAGTAGTCTACTATACCTCCTAAAAAACACAAGCCCAAAGAAGGATAATTTAACTATAATGTTTTTTTTTGTTTTAGGGTTTTTTTTGGTTTTGTTTTGTTTTGTTTTAAACAAAGTTACAAATAGTTCTCCTACCAAATCACAGCTCTAGAACCAGTCCTTAATATATCATTGGTTGGTGTGCCAACTTTCTGCTTTTGCAAATGTTGACTATGGTGGCCTATTTTACATATTAGGGCAACATAATAGCATACGCTATCTGAAAGCCAGCACTCGCAGAGTTCATAAATTCACTGGCTTCTAGTTCTAGTGGTTCTCAAGACAGCAAAGAGAAAAATTGTAGCAACTCATATATCAAACAGAAGTAATAAAACAATCTAAGTAAGAGTTAATTTGTTTTAATCTTGCAATCAGCTAGATCCATTAAGCATCAGTAAGATGTTGATCAGTATCATCAGTTTTAACAGCGTATTTGGGCTCCTAGAAAGTAGTTTCACTTTTTTCTTCACATGGTGCAAAGCACATTTAGGAAGTACAGCTTAAGTGCCTCTATTGTATCTTTGATGATGTAAAAGCTCCATCTCTGCTCTAACTCTTCTCCCATTCACAGAAAAATCTTTAATCAGCAAATTTCCCATCCATTCTCTACGCTAAGGCAATTTGGTAATTTTAACTTTTACAAACCATTTGCTTTTTATGTAGCAAGACAAGTAGAGAAATCTTCCACAGAGCACCACTAGAGAATCTTTAGCATGTATGGTAATCCCAAAGACTTGTAAATATTATTGTTCATAAAATACAGTGAAGTGAGGATTCCAAAAGCATTTTTCACTTCGCTGGATACGCAATCTTAAAGCCTTTCAGGTGGTCAGGATAAAAAGAAATTCATATTCAGTCACTAACCACCAAAGGGGAGTACAGAAGAGCTCTGATAAAATGTTTCTCAGTCATCTGCATGAGGACATCAGAGTTGATTTTACAATATTCATGTGTCTGAAATTTTAGACTAGGTATTATTCCTACTTGATGCAATAGGACTTTTCTATCAATTTCATTAAAAGAAGGCAA